TATTTTAAATAATTGGGTAAATTTTGAGTTGTTTCTTCTATACTCGAAATAAAATGAAGTTTTGGAACGGTTTTTGGTGTAATTGAAAAATTTAAACCTTTAGAAGGAACGAGTTTTTCGGCTTCAGTTAATGATTTATTAGATACATTTATAATTGTTTTGTCCAGAAATTGTTTATTTTTTATACTAAAAATGTCTTTTTTGATTTTTTCGTTGATTAATTTTTCTAGTTTATGGTTATGAATTTGTTTTTGAATAATAAATTTTCTTTCATAGGTTTTATTAACGGAATTACATTAATTCAATTATTTTTGATAAATAATTCGTTCTTATTGCGAAATAGGAGCACTATTTATCAATCTGTAATAGAAGACGTGAGGAAATTCGGTCTTTTTTAAAGACAAAAATTTTGGAGGCGAAATACCCAACAAGAAGTTTGTAAACAAAACTATTAGAGAGTGCTTTAAGTTATCCACTTAGAAGCTTACATTTTCCCTCACTTTGAGCATTGGAGAGGTTCACCTAACGAGACCCACATAGTAACAAAGTATACCTTTGAGTAGCTGGAGCCATTCCAACCTGCGCCCTCCAGCCTCTATTCGCCTCAGGAGTCAAATCCTCCGGCTTCAGCACCTTGGGCGGATCCTTGGCGCCTTTCAGCTTCCTGGCCGGAAAAACGAAACCGGCCGCATACTTTGGATCTCTGAATCGCACACATACTACTATGTTGCCGTAAAGCATCGGCAGCCCTTTCACGGGTGAGGCCAGCGAGTTCCTGCAATGTTAAGAGGTGAGTGAAACAAAGCCACTGATCATTCCACTTACGTATCGCGCGAAACGCAGCTATCCGATAAGAGGACAGTTCCTCGCATGCCCTGGATGGAAATCGCACACTCCGCATCTGAGTCAACGTTTTGAGTGTAGAGACCACTCAACAGGTCGTAGCCCTCATTTTTGGAGGAGACATACAAACGGTCATCGCCTCTGATGTTGCGCTTGATCTCGGCTTCAGCCAACTGGCTGTAGTACGGCTTCAACGCCTTGAACAATCTGTTCTCGTCAACGAATGGCAGTAGAGCCACTCCCTGCCACGCAAACTTCTTGCCGTTTAAGTCGATTTTAAAGTCTTCCGGGTAAAAGTCGATGATTGTTGAGTCCTGAAAGTTATCCGTTGTTTAGTTGAAGGCAGAATGGGGATTTTGTTTCACTCACAGGATCAGACATCAGGGTAGCAAATGGGGCGGGTACATGCTTGCTACTGGCTGCTGGGAAAACGCCCATCAATTGCTCCAAAGGCTTGAACTGCAATTAAATGCCGCAATTTAGCAATATACAGGGTTATTCACGCTATACGGCACGGAAGTTTGCGGCTAAACCGTTTCGATTTTTAATTTTTTATAAGTTTTGTAAATTTTCCACTCGGAAGCAAACGATTCTTAGTGAGCTTTCGAAGAGAAGAAAGAACCCCTACTAAACGTTAGAATATTTTAATGCTTGTTAGTCTTAAGATTACTCACAGGTTTGGTATCCCTTTCGAAATCCGTACTCAGTCCTGCGATGTTACAAAAGTCGGATGCAAATGGGGCGTAATGGTATGGATAGTACCATTTCCAAGAGGCGCAACCTTGATAGTAGTATTTTAGCACCCAGCATAGCCCTCTTACGTAATGAAGTGCTACCTGATACCTGAAAGGACAATTTATCAAAATCAGCAACATTTTTCTATGCGTCTCAAAGAAAAAACATCAGTTACCTGAATTCCAAATGTTGTGGGCCGACATCAAACTTTGATTCGTAATAACGGTCTTTGAATCCATCTTCCCAAAGTCTGACTTCATCATGCGCCTGATCATCATCACTTCCATTATCGTCTTCATGCTTTCTTTTTTCACCATGAGGCTCATCTGTCACAAAAAAGGCTTTAATAGGTTTCCTACACAGTTGAAAAATATTCACTTGAATTGCTGCCGCCTTCCGGCCTAAACATCGATTCTAAGGCGCTTTTAGCATCCGTAGCTCTAAGATGCGATTCAACTTGGCCCGTTCCACCATGCATTCCAGCTTTTCTAATGTTGAATGCCTCGTGTCGCGCGTTATTTACGGCACTTTGCTGCCCGATCGCCTATACATAATTTACCGATTATTTATTATTACACTCGGCTTGTGAAAAATCTTACTCTCGGCGCAAATTGCGTATTTTGTAATAAAGCAAAATTGGGCTTATATTGGTTGAAACCGTCGGATCTACGTTTCTTCGCCTTTTCTCTGGCTTTAAACGAGAGCTCTTTTTGTTGCCTGGTCTTGAAAATTTCATCTTCAGCTTTTCCCAATTCCAACATGATCATTTGTACTCGTTCAAGGTTTACATCGCCGCTATCAGTAAGATAGCCCTAAAAAAACGAATCCAGTTATTGAATAATGAACGGGTTTCTAAATTATTAATTTAGTTCCAATCAGAAACGATCCTTAATATGCAGATAATTTGGCGAATGCGCCAAAATTATTTCTTACCCCGGTTTTGTAGACGCAGTCCTTATACAATCTGATCAAGCGGTCAATAGCATTTTCGCGAATCTCCAAACTGGGCAAATGTGGTAGAAAATCATTGCCCACAAAAAAGCACATGAACACCCAATCGTCCAGAGCGCGATCAAACTCATACTTGAAAGGGAGATTTGGCATGAACATTTCTTTCTCCAAATATTCCCTTAGCACGTTTAATCTGACAAAAATGAAATCAGTTTCGGCATTGATCGGCATATCCGGCTCTTGGCCATGTTCGCTTCGAACCCCGCCGACACAGTCCTTCATTTCGTGCCCTAAAAACCAAATATATTTTTTAAGTCGCTAACTTATTAATGAATTTGCTGCTGCGTACCTAACTGCCCACAAATCTCGCATGGTCTAGGTTTATTAGGGCGAAACTCTTCCCGGATGATAGTAAAGTTAGGTTCATGAGTAGCTAGGCCTAACATAATCAAATCAGCATCAGCCCCACAAAGGACATGCTGTGTGTTGGGGTCATGATCCGGCTGGGCCCTTTGCTTCCTAATATAGTCCATGATCTTGTGTTCGCCCTCTCCAGGCACATTAGCATCAGACAAGATGACTTTAATGCCCTTCCAGCCGGGATCGTTGTTGAGCCTATCATGAATATAGTAATGCAAGCACTCAGACAACCTGGCCATGAATGGGGTCCCAGGAGTGATACAATTCGAGTCAAAATGCTCCTCCTTGGGTTTCTCTGGTGGCAACTCGCAGCCTTTCAACAGCAGCTCTGCACGGATTCTTTTAATCTCGTTAATCTTCTCGACAGTTTCCTTTGACGCCCGAAATCTTCTGGACCTTTGCTGGTTCATTTTGGCTCTGGGGGCCACCCCATCAATGGCCATGTAAATCACCTTCCTGGGTCGCACGATATTAAACATCCGGTCAATGCAGTCGAAAATGGCAATCATCATTTCATCCTCATTGCGAGGGGGTGGCCGATCTTCCGGATGGGTACAAGGATGGATGATGCCATTCATGTCCAGATATAAATTGTCGAACTCGACCCCATTCGGATTTGGATCGGACGAGTTTGTGGGGATTTTGGTGCCATTTACGTCGACGGCCTAAAAACAAGCATGAATATCAAAATGGTAAAGCATATCTAAGGATTCGGTACCTTTTGCTCCACACAATGCACTATAACAGAGGGATATTTGCGGCTGAGCCATCGAAAGAATGCTGGAACTCCCATTGAAATGGGTAGGAATGTGGGTGTTTATTATTATATATCCAAGTGGTTGAGTGATTCTATTGATGAACTTGGTCAAATTAATTAGTTTCGTGTATGTTGTAGGATACAAACGTGATACAAACAAACATTTCTAATAACTTTGACACTAATGAAATTCTAGACATTTATTGCACATGCCACGTTCAAACTCGCACATAACCAGGGTTGCCAGGTCCGAAAATTGAGTTTCGGTAGATAAGCTCGACACTTTTCGG